CAGGTGTTAACTTTTGGGTGCTGACTTGTGGGGAGATATAAGAAGGTTGAGGGAGGGGCAAGGGCCCTCAGGGTAAGTGGCTCTTAGGAAATAACAACCATTACGAATGTATGAGACTATGAATTAAAAACTAACATGGTCCTTATATCCGTGGAATTATTGGGAAAACATTCTAGAAAGATATGAAATACTGAAACTGAACAGAGAAGACACAGAAAATCTAAACAGATCTATCACAAGCAAAAATAATAGTAATTAAAAATGATTATAAAAAGTTAAGCCTAGGTCCAGGTGTCTCAGTGGTGAATTGTACCAAACCATTAAAGAAGAAACAAAAGGTATCTTTTACACACTGTCCAAAAATACAGGAGAGCTTTTCCAACTCATTCCACAAAGTTAGTATTATCCTAATACATCATAAGAAATATATAATATATCACAAGGAAACAGCAAACTAATATTTTTCATTAATATAGACACAAAAAATCCACCCAAAATATTGACAGTACAAATCTAGGAACACATAAAAAAGGACTATATACTATAATCAAAGAGGATTTATTCCAAGAATGGAAAGTTGGTTTAACATGTGAATTCATTATAATACACTGGATTATATGAGCTTGCTTGATTGTGGAAATCATTACATAAGTAACAATTATATCAAAACATCATGTTGTACACCTTAAATATGTACAACTTTTAATTTGTCAACCATCACTCAGTAAAGCTGGGGGGAAAATCCCCAATAAAACAGTGTGGTAAGGATACAAGGTGGGCACAGAATAACCAAAAAGAATTGAGAATCCAAAATCAAACCCTGACATATATGGTTAATTTTTTTGTGTGTGGGGGGATTGGTGGGGATCAAACCCAGGGCCTTGCACATCAATTTTTTTAAAAAATAAGGGTGCCAAGATAATTCAATGGGGCAAAGAGTAGTTTTTTCAATAAATAGAGCTAGAACAACTGAATAAGTACATGTCAAAGAATGAAGCTGGCCCTCTACCTCACATATCAAAATTAACTCCAAATGGATCAAAGTCATAAAATTGAGAGCTAAAACAATAAAACTCTTATGAACATAGAAGTAAGTCTTTATGAGCTTGCGTTAAGCAAAGGTTTTTTAGGTACAACATTAAAGGCACAAGTGATAAAAGAAAAAAGAGATTAACTGGATTTTATTTCAATTGAAAAGTTGTTTCTTCAAAGGATACTATTAGTAAAGGGGAAAGTTAACCTACAGATTAGGAGAAAATATTTGTAAATCATATTCATATATCTGATTAAGGACTTTGATCCAGATTATATAAAGACTATTTACAACCCAACACTAAGATGACAAATAGTCCAATTTAAAAATAAGCAAAACATTTGAAAGACATTTTTCAAAGAAGATATGTGAAATGGCCAATAAGTGCATGAAAAATGCTCAATATTACAAGTCATTAGCAAAATGTAATATAATGAGATACCACTTCACTTCCACCAGAATGACCATGATAAAAAGACTACAAGAAGTGTTGTTGAGGATCTGAGGAAATTGGAACTCTCATACTCTACTAGTAGAAATATAAAATAGTGGTGCCTCACGTTGGAAAGCAGTTGCAATATTCTTCATAAAGTTATTGGTATATGATTCACCAATTGCACTCCTAGGTATAAACCCAAGAGAACTGAAAACACATATTTACACAAAAACTTGTACACATCTTCATAGCCATAATAGCCATATATTTAGCCATAACAGCCAAATACTGAAAGCAATCCTAATATCTGTCAACTGATGAATACATAAAGAAAACATGGGTATTAGCATGTCATCAATTATTATTTGTCAATAAAAAGAAGTGAAGCAATATTACATACTACAACATGAATAAACCTCAAAAACATTATGCTAAGTGAAAGATCCCAGATGTAAAATGACCATATATGTATAATCCCATTTTAATAAAATTTCCAGAGAAGGTAAATCTATAGAAAAGAACAGTCTGTAAATGATTGGGTGGGGCTGGAGATAGCAAAAGGGAATTGTCTCCAAATGGGCACAAATTATCTTTTTAGTGTAACAGAAACTTTCTAAAATTGGCACATGACACTGATTGTACAATTATAAAAATTTTAAAAAATAATCATTGAGTTCTATCTTTAAAATAAGTGAATTTTATGGGTATAGGAATTATACATCACAAAAGCTGTTAAAAATGGCTATTATAATGTAAAAAAGGAAAGGGAAATGTGTTATTTAAAATATCAGTCTTTAAATCTGAAAAAAAAAATGGCTATGAAACCACGATGTCTTATATGTAATTCTGTTTTTTACACATTTTACAACTATAAGACTTTTATAAGATAGAGCAACCCTGATAATATGGCAGAGGCCTTAACAATCTTTAGAATCAATCTTATGTTAATATCATTACTGTACAAATAGATGGATCACTTGACATCAGTGCCTGACATCTAAATCAGCCTTAATAAATGCTTACTAATGAACAATTAAATCATCCTTATAGTGTGATTTTTCTCCCCAAATATCTCACTTATTTGATACCTAAAACATTTGATTAGGGTATTTCCCCTCTAACTTAAGAAAAAATGAAATGCCCAAATCTTCAGGGGAAGTCCTGTTTATAAGTGGAGGTAGTCCAGATTGGGTATGCTAGTTAAGGTAGTGTATTAACTTTTTAATGCTTCAGGTTAATTTGGTTGAGGATTGGAGATGGAAATCTCTGCTCTACAGACTCAATCAGAGACCCAGGCTGACCAAAGCTCAACTACACATCATGAGGAGTCATGACAGAATATGAGAACTATTGGAAATTATATATGGGCTTTTTGGTGCCACTGCCCAGAAATGGTCTTTGATTTATCTTGCTTTCCCAATATTGAGCACGGTGTCTGGTACATCACAGCAGCTCACTGAGTGGTTGTTGTTGTTGTTGTTGTGTGTGTGTGTGTGTGTGTATGTTGTAGTTGGATACAATACCTTTATTTATTTATTTTTATGTGGTGCTGCGGATTGAACCCAGGGCCTTGCAAGTGCTAGGGGAGCACTCTACTGCTGAGCCACAACCCCAGCCCACTGAGTGGGTGCTTTGTCTGAATCACAATGCCTCCTGTGGTGATCTTCAAGTCATAAGGTTTTGCTGGTACAAGTGCCTTCTTAAGCAGAATCAAGGAAACACAATTAAAAGACAGATTTGCTGGCATATCCTGACTACTCAGGAGGTTTAGGCAGGAGGATTTCAAGTCTGAGGCCAGCCTGGACAATTTAGCAAGACATGTTTCAAAATAAAAAGTACTGGGGATGTAGCAGCAGTAGAGTACTTGCCTAACACGCAAAACGCCCTTGGTTTGATTCTCAGTACTGCAAAACTGAACAAACCACAAGTAAATTCTGTGAGGTAAGAAGAATACATTCCATGTGAACAAATGTGTGTTCATATTCCATGTGAACAAAGATCACCTTTACTGTCCTAATTAGACCACAACCACCACTACATATGATAAGTTACTTATAGTGCTAAACTAGAAAAAAAACTCAATGCTTTACAGGATTACAAAGAAATGTATCAACAACACAGGGAAGATAATTGGATAAAATGCCTTAAGAAGTTTAGTAACCATTTTGTATATCAATACTTGTATCACTGAGCCCTCTGGCCTTTGGTATCTGCCCCCAAGCCACCTTAAATTGCACTGCCAGTTTTATCATGTTCCAATATTCCTTTCCTAAGGTATCCCTCCCATTAAAAAATCCAAGACCAAACTCCTTAATCCTGGCAATTTTGGCTCTTTGTGTAACTTCTTGTGCTTTTCAAAAAATCATTATTTTAACCAAGCTTTCCAAATCACACTTATTCTCCAGTCAAACTACTCTTTCTTAAGCTATGCATATTTGCTGACTTATCACCTACTACATGGAATGCCACTTTTTTTTTAAATCTTCTGAAAATTTGCCAATTACTTGAATTGATACCATATTGCGAAGCTCTCCCTAAATAATTCTGCTCATGTTGATCTGAGATCCTGAAGCACCTGTGATTTACAACAGTCATTCGGGCATTGAGAATGGTCCAGAACATTATTAAATGTTCTGAGGCTCATTTTTTCTACAGTTTTGGTATAAGCTTCTGGAGGATTTTTGTGTAAAAGCAAAAATCCACCCGTTATCATGAATCAACCCAAATTATGAGACTTATTGATAATATTGGAATAATCACAGACAACAAAATAGATTAACAATAGAGAAAACAATTTTTTAAAAAAAAAATCAATGTTTGTTTCTTAGTTTTCTTTTTTAAAAAAACAGAAATATTGTGGTTTCAAGTACATTAATTTAACATCTCATTCATCTTGTGTTTTATTATTTTATATTCGCTAATATGGACTAATAGTGGCCAATTAATATTTTTTGTTTATCAATATCTTCTTGAACTTTTATATTTTGGTTTTAATAAAAAACATCATTTCTAAAAATACAAATGCCAGATTTCTGTTTTGGAAGTTTATCCTGCATGAACTACCTTGACCATAGGCAGATGTGCCTGAATTTCATAGTTTATAAATACCTGCAAAATTTGGGTCCAAAGCCAACTGTAATTTTCTATTATAACTTTTAATAGATGGATTTGTCTATTACACCAGATATACAAACACAAATAGCTATTTCACTTAAAAATTACAATATTACTGTCAACCCATATTTAAGCTAAAATAACAACAGAGCACAGTTTCTTAAAGTAGAAAATTATTTATAATTAATTTTATTTTGGTTGCTTTACCTTTCAAACCCCCACTGATAATCTGGGGAAAATACTTTCCAACTTCTTCCTAAAGAGAAACACCCTCTGCAGACTCCATCCTGCCTCCCTTACATGCTGCCTGTATTTTCTCTGTTTTTCCTTTGATACTTCTTTAAAACACTGAAAAACCAGAAAATTCTCAACTCTCAGATCTCCAGTTACATGTCGTAAAACCCTTTGTCAGTTTACCCAGTCAGATGAACAGAATCTCCGTTTCTTTTTCAATCGAATCACAGTTGTCTTGATAGCCTGATTTGCCAGTTTGGTTACGCTGTCTCCCTTTGGGATTCTTTGTAGAGATTACCACAAAAAGTCTAAAGTAGGGCAGTTCCAGACAAAATTGGAACAGCCTTTACCCCCCGTAAAGCAACCCAATACCTCACAAAACTTCAGGCAGAAGAATGAATGATAGAGCATTCACCAATAGGGAGTGGAGAGGAGCATTTTGTCGAAGTTTGTAACCCAATCCTTGGAAGCCAGAGGTGGGAATTTTAAAATGGGTTTGTCTTTTCCTTGGAATTTTCTTAAAGTGGTATCGCTGTCGGTTGATGTTAAATTTTGTTGAAGACTGTAGAATCACTAGTTTAAATTAAAGTGTTCTCCCCCTTTAAGTAAGTCAAAAATATGTAAATTGACCCTCAAAAATTGAGAGATCTAAAGAATGGTCATAAAATACACTAATATCACATACTGACCTGGCCACTTTTGTGTCAGTTTGGGAAGGGGGTAAATGTTATTTTAACATGATTCATTTTTCATGATCAAATATAAGATGTTCAATTAATGTACCCCCAAACACAGTATTTCTTTAAAAAAAAAAGAAAACTAAGAAATTAACACTGATTTTTAAAAAATTGTTTTTCTACTATTCCTCTATTTTGCATGTGTGATTATTCCAATATTAGCAACAAGTGTCATTATTTGGGTTGATTCTTAATAACCGATAGATGTTTGCTTTTACACACTCTAGGTTTCCTCATTTTAAGTCCAGCAAAAAGTTTCTGAGGTATTATGAAACTCCATAAAAGGTTTTAGGAATACAGGTTATGTATGTACATGTCACATCAGTAACTCCGGAAGACCAGATTTAATTAATAATTGATAACATTTGATTGTAATTCATACCTTATTTTGGAACCAGTGTTATTTAGTATAACTCTGCTTTCTAGATAATTCATCTCTAAAAGTAATTAGCCAACATAAAACTAGTTCACTATAAAATTTAACGTTGACAATAAGCCTTTAGCAAGTTAACAGACCCAGCTTTACAAAGGACAAAGAATAAGTTCTAGAAGATTTTTTTTAAGAAGGAAAGGTGCTATAGTTATGAACACAATATTTTTAAACACAAGTTTTTAATGTTCCCGAACAATGCACGTATTGAAAGACAAACAACAAAAACTCCCAAAGCCCTCTTCTTTTGATGTCTTCGTTGACATGAATTTTTCTCTTTAAGAAATATTTTTTGACATCCTACTTAGCCATGCTAGTAACTGTCATAATGTCTAAATTGGTACTGTGCTTTTTGGCAACTGTTTCTCAAAATAGACCTTGAGTGAAGTGCAGACTACTTCCTCATCTTTGGAACCTATCTGTGAGCTCTTTAACCCAGGGCTTGGGCTCACTGTTCACTGACGAACCCTGCATGATATAAATCTATCAGTCTCAGTTTTAAACCCATTAGACTGGTATAATAACAGTACCCGTGTCATGGGATTGCTGTTTAGACTTAAATGAGATAATCTGTGCACGGCTCTTAGAATGCCCCAAGGTACACAACAAGCGCTCCACGTCGCGGGTTTTGTCATCCCTCAACCTATGGATTGAATAACCAGTCCGAGCGCCTGAATGAATGTACAAACAAAAGAACAGGTCAACGACAGGTTCCTGACGTTGGCGCTGGCTAAATTACTCTTTCAAGATAACTAAACAAAGAGTCGCTCTCTTCCATCCCCACGCGGGAGCCGGAAGCAAAAGTAGAGCCCCTGGCGGGACCAAGGGGAAGGAAGCAGTGCTCTCCGCCAATAGGAACATCGCTTGGAAAACGAGCCTATCGTCTCACCTATCGTGAAAACGCGAGAACTGAGACGAATTATCGCGAGGTCCTGTCCTCCTTTCCTCGTCTCCCTCTTCCCCAACTCCCAGTAGTGCGGGTTCCGCCCCGCCCCCGGGGCCCGCCGGCGCTGGCCATCCCGCCCAGCCCCTCCCCGCCCCGCCCCATCCGCCGTCCCTAGGCTTGCTGTCCAGCTCCGCCCGCGCTCGGGAGCGCTGGTTGTGCCGGCGCCGAGGTGAGTGCAGCTGTCCACCTTGTCCGGAGGTTCAAGTGTCAAGGTCCCTTGGCCGAGTCCCCGATGGGGACGCCCCATACCTGACCCGGCAAAAACGCCTGGCTGCAGCGAGTGGGACTGTGGACTGCCCCGGGCCTTGGGTCACCGAGGCTGCTGGGTCCTCCTCGCAGTCCGCAGCCGGGGGATCGGACAGTCCGCCTAACACCGGTCTGTGAAACCCCTGCCACTATGCTAGCTGCTGCCTAACTGTAACGATCTTAGTGCTTAATTGGGGCAAAACAGCATGTGTTTTGCATGAGACTAATGTTAGCATTTCTTAGTACTAAGAAAATAATCTTCTATAAATGCTTGATATACAGTTTATAATTCCCTAATCTCCAGTGCTAGGATATCGGAATGGGTATTCTACCGTGTAGAATAGGTATGGAGAAGTCAGCCTAAGGGACTCCTTTCCTGCTTAAAATGTGTGGGATTTTCTTAAAATGGGAGGGTTTTTGTTTGTTTGTTTGTTTGTTTAATAATAAAATTGGTGCTCATCTGTCAAAACTCAGGTGGAGGTGCAGCTGTATATAGTTAATACTAAATATACCATTTTCTTTAACTATAGGCAAGAGATAGTGAAGTAAAATAGAAAGAAAATTATGCTGTTATAGGCTCTGTTGCCAATGAATGCATATTGGAAAACCATGAGCACTGTTGACAGCTTTCAGATTGCATTTGTATAGACTATCTGCCAGTCTATCTTCGATGCAAAATAAAATGCATTTTATCAGGAGGTAATGATGGTTTTGAGGTAACCAATTCCAGCCAGAGCATTCAGAAGGAAAACCATCTGGTTAATTCTCTTATTGAATTTTCTATCAGTGAGTGTGGATATATTTTGCTTTATGAAGCAAAGACTTCATTTATGTAAGTTTTGCATACCACATAAATGATAGAAGAAGCACTAGTTACACTGAAGTGCATGAAAGGATGCCTTGTATGATGGTACACAGGCTTTGCAGTTTGCAGTTAGGCCACCTGCGTTGAAATTCTGGCAGGTTACTTTCTGAGAAACTCTGTTCTCATCTAGAAAATGGGCTAAGCAATGTTGCAATACATGGTTGTGAGGATTAGAGATCCTTATGGCATGCAGCAAGTTTATACAATCTGTAAATGGTTTTGAGGTGGGTAGATGAAAAATCAGCCTTCCAGTATTATTCCAAATATTCTAATTTCATCTGTTCATTAACTGTTTGAAAGCTTGCTTTTAGATACTGTGCTAGTTGTGCAGGCATGAAGAAGCAGCAAAATCTCTGCCCTCTGGGTTTTACAGGCTCTTGGTAGATTAAGAGTAAACAGGTGCACCAGTAAATATATAGATTACAAATTGCACAGAATCCAATAAAGAAAAACAGCTGGGTTGCTTGAAAAGAATACCAGGGGAATACTTTAACTTGAAATAGGGAATTGGTTTTTATGTTGAAACTTGGAGGTTGATGGGGAAGTGCTTTCCAGACTTAGAGGATAGCAGAACAACAAGAACTCTCAGGAATTTGGGAAGCCAGGGAGAGTGCTGCAAATGAGGCTAGAGAAGTGTGTTGGGCCCAATGTCGAATAGCCCTGAAGACCTGGTAAGAGGGTGATTTTCTAAGTAAGAAACTTCTGAAGGGTTTATTTAGTAAGATGTGTGCTTGAGAGAGAATGAGAAGCAGTTGGGTTTGCGTCTTCAAAGTCTCACTGCTATGATTAATGTGTTGGAAGTGATTGAAGTGGACTCAGACCAGTAATAAGAGTTGACTCAATGAGGATATGACAGTGTCTATGATTCTGGCAGATGGAGAGATGTAGATGGATTTGAAATATATTTTAGAAATGGAAACCATCAGCCTTATGATAGTGCAGAGATGTGGGGGAATAGGAGGATGGACTCATTTATAATGCCAGCTTTCTGGTCTGGGCTGCTGCATGGATAGAATTATGCTTTCTCCCCATTTACTAAGAGGGAAAAGACTTGGGAGGTTCAGACTGGTGGTGAAAATCTAAAACTCTCTGTGACTGTGTTAAGTTGAGATGCTTGTGAGATATCTTAAATGTTTTCAGTTTACTTCAGGGAATAGTTACCTAGAAAGCTTCATTTTCCACAGTCTTTGATATTGTTATCTAGTTCCCCTGGCTTTATAGAGAATTAAGATATCTTAAGATTGAGGGTCTTGCACAAAATCACATAATATCTCATAAAGTAGGTAAGTGAGTAGGTGAAACAAATATGGGGAAATATTGGATTATTATATTGCATTGGGAATGTTATTGAGAATTTCATATTCTTTGCTCTGGCAAGGGTTGTCCTATTAGCTAGGAATTAAATTTTGGGAATGATAGAAAATAATATGAAACTTACAAAACTCTGCTTATTGACAGCTTTGGCATTAATTCCTGGTGAAAAGTGAAAGGTGGTTTTTTGTTTGTTTTCTAGTAGGTAGTTTGGGAAAGGTACCAGAAAAACAGAGTAGAATCTTTGAACAAAACTCAGCTTCTTTATAATTGTTTAAGCATTTCCTTTGTATCTTGAGGAACCTTATAGATCAGTGTAAAGAGCCCAAGTTTTGAAATTCACTGAACCTGATCTTCATCCCTTGTAAACTGTTCCCTTGGACAAATTCTGGAAGCCCTCAATTTGTTTCATCTTGTATTCAGTGATGGTAAAGTTTGTTTCAGCCAGTGGATATGATGTCAAATGTTACTTTTCTTCCTGTCCTTGTCAATTTTGTAACCAGAAGAAAATTTAAAATAATTTGTCCAGGGGGCCTTTAAAGCAACACATTAATATATTAGTCAACTGAGGCCCAGAAAGATTATAATAGAATAATACAGTGCTACTGTGTCCTTTTGCAGTGTTGCTTCTTTCATTGAAAAGATGTAAAGTAATAAAACTGGGCACTAGAGGTGTTGCTTAATGATATAATGCTTGCCTAACATGCTTGAGGCTGGACTGCAAACAATAAATAAATAAAATTAATAAAACTTTGTAACCCTGAACGTGTTTCTTTGCTACTTCAGATAATCTGCAAAGCAAAAACAAACACAATTCAAAACAAAACCAGAATAAAGAGATGAAAGAAAGGAAAGTTAG